GTACATAAGGAAGTACCCCTTAGCGACTTGCTGTTACGTGAGTTTTATTTCTGAGGAAAATTATGTGAATTGTCCTAGTCAGAAAACGAAGGGGCATTGCCTATTGGAGTGTGTAGAGAATCATCCTCTTAGCTTGAGGCAACCCCGATAAACCCGTTGAAAGCTTTCGTCTTTCTTGTAGTGGCAGACATCGTTAGAGTGATAAATCCTGATTTACGTAAAACCTTACTATATATAGTGAGCAAAGAAATAATATATAGTTTTTTTTCGAAAATTATGATTTTTTGTTGTGACAGTATCCGCCATGACAGGACATACGTGAGTTTAGCATGAGTTCCTTTGTGAGCCGATGACTTCTTCACACAATTCAATGGCCTTAATTCTTCCTCTTGCTCGGTTTTGCGATGAAATCAGTACCCTTATTCGTTTCAATCAACTTGGTCTTGAAGTTACAATTCACGTTATAACAAGTTTCAGTATCCTACATTTGAAGACGATCAGCTCTTCTTCATTTTTCTTTATATGGCGTTGGCAGGCGATGGAGGAGATCTGTGCCGAAGCTGGTATTACTAGACTGGCGTGGCGCGTCAAGCTCCAATGTCCGCTGACTTGTGGCGCCAACAAAGTCTTCACTGACCGGTTGGAGTCATGCCCGAGGACGTGCGAGAACCACTTTTTCGGCACTAGGAAAGATTGTTATTCGTTGCCGGGAAGCGAGGGATGCCAGTGCAATCCGGGCTTTCTGTTGGATGGCATGAAATGCGTCAAGCCGGAAAACTGCCGGTGTCTGGAGGGCTGTCGAGATGTGTCATCGAGATGCTCGAAGTGGGCCGCCGAAGGGAAGTGCCAGACCAACATGCACATCATGAATGAGGTCTGTCGGAACTCTTGTGGATTCTGCAAGCAAATCGGTGAGTCAGTCGTCGCTTTGTTGAACTCACAAATCCTCTAGAAAAAGTAAATTCAATCTGGGTCGTTGTAGGTGATGAAAGGTTCTAAGATT